ACGGATGGTCAAACTGAAACAGTAAATAGAACCTTAGGGAACATACTTCGTGTCTTGATAAAAAAGAATTGCAAAAGTTGGGAAGAATGTTTGCCTCACGCTGAATTTGCTTATAATCGTACGTTGCATTCTTCGACACACATGTCTCCTTTTGAGGTTGTTTATGGCTTTAACCCTCTAACACCTTTGGATATGTTACCATTGCCTAGCAATGAGTATTTTAATGGTGATGACAGGAAACAGACTAAATTTGTGAAGGAGATGCATTCAAAGGTTCAGGATAACATTGCAAAGTCAAACGCTCGGTATGCTAAAAGTGCTAACAAAGGTCGTAAGCATGTAGCGTTCCAACCAGGCGATTGGGTGTGGTTGCACTTGAGAAAAAGTAGATTTCCCGAGAAACGGAAGTCTAAGCTGAGCCTAAAAGGAGACGGGCCTTTCCAAGTTGTGGAACACATCAATGACAATGCCTATCGTATTGAGCTACCGGGTGAGTACCAAGTTCATAGCACATTCAACGTTGCTGACTCAATTCCTTTTGATGTAGGAGATGAACAAACTATAAAAATGGGGGACTCAATTTTTCAAGAAGGGGGGGATGACGAGGTCGTCAAAACCGACCATGAACCTACACTACCACCAGGTCCGATTACTCGAAACTGTGCCAAGAAGTTTCAAACTAATATTATGGCATTAATTCTATATTTGAAAGAGGAGAACATGCATAAAGTAGAAGCATGGAGGCCAATGGGAGGAGCGTTATCAACATTGGAGTGCATCCACCCTTGAAGACCACAATTTATAACACCCATGGGAGTTTCTACTCACATCATTACACATGTGGGATAAGAGGTGTTTTATTTTATTTAATAAAGTGGGTCCCATCAATCTAATTAATTGGACATCTCTTATTTACTTAATTAGTGGGATATAAATAATATATATTTTTGTCCCATATTGGTTGTAGAGTCTTTTTTCAAGCTAGCCTCCCCTATAAATAAGGCACTTGGCTTCACTTGTTAGACACCTTGAAATTGATATCAATTAAAGTTTTTCTTTTTATTCCATTATATTGGAATTAGTGTGTGAGCGAGGGTTACCCTTGCATACGCGTATCATTCTCAAATCGGATCCTTGGGTTGATTCTTTGGGTTCGTGGCTTCCGAAACCGACCGGAGTTTCTAGCCAAATTGTTTGAGTTTCCATTGGTTTAGAGGTGTTGGGTCTAGGCAACGCTTGGGTTCACATCTGATCGATTGACGAATCGGACACCGGTAATATCTTCTTCTTTCTTACTTAAGTTTTTTTATTTGAATTTAGTTTTAAGTTTCGGTTAATATAGTTTAGTTACTTGGGCTGAACCAGTGATTAAATAGATATTTAAAATATGTTAACCTGCTCTCTTGCATTATAAGATTTTATAACTATTACCAAAATTACAAAAATTACATGGATTAACATCGATTACTAATCCAGTGATTACTAAAATAGGAAACTAAAGTAGCCATGCATGATGCTTGAATAATGTAGGGATAGATTGGCGTAATGTTACTTGAACTTGGATGGATCTTTTGCTATCATAAGTATAACTTCATCATCGAGTTCATAAATCAATTTTAGATGTTTATTCGGACAACATAATTACAATCTTACAATTTAAAGATCACTAAGGTTATGTTCTTTTGTAGATTTTACACGGTTTTTACTATTTAGATTCTTTTCTTCCTCCAAAAACATTAAGTCAAATAATTATTTCTTTCTTTTTATATTATATTACAAATTTATTTTACATTCAAAATATCACATCATTATCTATTTATATCATATCAAATAACTATTCAAATTCAATTTTTTACTATTAAAAAATTTAAACGCAAAAACACAAACCTGCAAATAAATACACCCTAAGAGTTTGAGTTGATAACATGTCTAATAAAAGGACAATACTTGCGAAATGCAAGAGATAATTTTACTATGTATAAGTCTCTAAATACTAGTATAAGTGTAACACTCAATGTTACAAACCAATCTTAGAAGAAACAATTCAGTGCGCACTTTCGAACAGCGACTGCGGATTCTCACGTTATAAAAATAAAATAAAAAATAAAATAAAAATAAAATAAAAAAATTCATCATCTCAAGTTAAAAATAAGAGAAAATAATATAAAGTTTGAAAAAAAAAGTATGTGTTGTATGAAGAGTATTTTGTATTTTATTTATTTATTCATTATTATTTTATTTATTTTTATTATTAATTTTTTACAATGAAATTCAATGACAACAAATTATTTTCAAATAGGGTACTTGTTTCAATTCAATTCTTATCTCCAAACGGTTCAAAGCTATACTTAAAAAATTAATCTAATTTCATTATCATTTTTAAATAAACAGATCTGGGTGTTAGTTGTTGTTGTTTTTTTTTTTTTTTTTTTTTTTTTTTTTTTATATGTGATTGTATATGTCATTCTATTAGATTAGAGAGGGTCTATTCAATTAGAATTTGTTTGGATCTTAAAAAGTCCGTAAATTTGAATAAATTTATAAATTCTATAGAATCTATAATAAATTTATAAATTCTATAGAATCTATGCAGAGTTTAATGAATTTTGTTTATTAATTTATATGGATTTTGATGGATTTGATTGGATTATTTATTGATTTCCCTATACTTCATTATAGTTTATAAATTTGTGGATTAAATAATATTTTTTTAGTTTATATAATTTCAAATATATGCAGTACACTTGTATGTATATAAAAAAAATTTCAAATATTTAACAAAAATATTAAAAGTAAATTAATTTTCAAAAAATATATTTATTATTATTCTCATTTTTATTTCATTTTAATAATGATAATAATAATTTTAAATTTATATTTTTTTTATATTATTATTTTGATCGAATTTATTATATCATATAATTAATTTTTATTTTGTATCAATCTATTTAATTGTTATTATTATTATTATTTATATGGATTTTTATACAATAACATATATTTATAAAAATAAAATCACATTAAAATTACAATTTTTATTAATTAAAATTAAAAATAAAATAATTAAAAAAGAATAAATATAAACTAATATTGTCAAATATAACCGGTGGTTTTTGAACCGACGGAATTGAAATCGAAATAAGAAAATATAAATTAAAATTATGGAATGTTTAATTTTGATTTGACCTTTTCAAAAATAAAAATTGATAATTTTGATTCGAACAATTTGAGCAAATTTATTTTTTAGTTTAAATATATATAATTTTAATATTATTTAAAATATATAAAACTTTAAAATAATTGTAATTTTTATATTAAACATTTAAATTTTTTTATCTTATTGATATTATTATAATAAAATAATATATACATATAAGATAATAACTAGTTATTAATGCTATAAATAAAATAATATGTATTTTTTACTAATTTTGAGAATTCAATTTAAAATCATTTAAAAAAAATGAAAAAAAATAATAATCAAATCCATGTGTACGCCAGGTCAGCTATACCTGGCAGACACGTAGCCTTCGGGGAGCCACGGGGGCGTCTCCTGCGCCGGAGGACTAAAACAGCGAAATTTTTTTATTTACGGATTTAGTTTGCGACAGGCTCCACTTACGAGACTAAAATGATAAAGGGGTCCAGTTACACGACTAAAAAAACAGTTTACCAAAAAAAAAAAAAAAAAAAAAAAAGATGAAAGACACATGAACAATGAAATAACCTTATTTTCTATTTTTTACGTCACATTAAAATTTAATTTTATATTAAAAAACTCATATCAATATTTATTTATATCATATTATTAAACAATTTCAGTTTAAATTTCAACTATTCCAAACCTCAAACACAACTAACCCGTAAAATTTGATTTTGGCTTAAATTTGAATTTTACTTTAAATAATACTTCATCCGTCTAGTTAGAAAGTATATATATTTCTATTTTTGGACGTCCAATTATAAAGTAAACATTTCATTAAATACCTCATTTTTTTTCCACAAATATTTTTACTTTACATCACATCATTACTTTTACACCAAAAAAATAAGGGCAAAAATGTCATTACACTACTTTTAACTATATAGTTAAAATACTATTATTTCTTAAACACCGCGCCAAAAGTAAATAATTTTGTATGTGGACGGAGGGAGTACTACTTAAATAGAAAATTTGATGAAAAAAGAAATACTTACTTCCAATTCAATATATCATTTTTATTATTTTTGTTTATCTCACTCTTTACAATTATAATAAGAATAATTATATCTAAATATCAAAATACTCGTAATTTTTACTAAAATATATTCATTTTATTTTTCTACTTTTAAAATAAAAATATCAAAATCATCTTACACATTTTTCACTAACCAATAAAATATAATTGTTTCTTAACAATACTAAATATATATATATATAAATAAAACTTAATACTCCATCCGTCATTCAAATCTATATTCACTTTCCTTTTTGGGTTGTCATTGAAAAATATTCTCGTTACCTTTTTAAATAAAAAATTATTACAATTTTGTACATTTTTTTTGCTATAAAAGAAAAAAGTAACCATTATTACTCACTTTTATTAAAACTCGGTGTCCGAGCACACATTTGCACGACGGATGGAGTAATATATTTTTATTAAAAACACTCGTATAATTGGGAAAAAAAAAAAAACCCCTAAAAATAAGAAAACATTCTATATATACATAAAATTGAAGAACACACACTAACAGTTAATGCACCATTGCACCCATACACATTACTAACTAATAAAAAAAACAGTTAGTTACAGTTATAATATAGAAGGAAAACTAACGAATGGTCGGTCCATCCTTGAAAGCAGACCAAAGCTTCCTTAATCAACACAAAGCACCCTAACACAGTGGATCTCAGATCCTTAATCGCCAAATTCATTCATTCATTAATTAATCAATTCCCTAATCAAATCACTCGAATAATCTTTACCCAACCTTAACCAAGCTTAACCAGTCCGACAACAATGGCGGCCGCCGGCGATCCGCAGCTCAGCGAAGGCGTCCTGAAGAAGATCCTCGTCTCCTACGCCTACGTGGCCATCTGGATCTTCCTCTCCTTCATGGTCATCGTCTACAACAAATACATCCTCGACCCCAAAATGTACAACTGGCCTTACCCCATCTCCCTCACCATGATCCACATGGCCTTCTGCTCCTCCCTCGCCTACCTCCTCGTCCGCGTCTTCAAAGCCGTCGACCCTGTTGTCATGTCCTGGGACCTCTATGCCAAGTCCGTAGTTCCCATTGGCGCCTTGTATTCGCTCTCTCTATGGCTCTCGAATTCGGCCTACATTTACCTCTCCGTTTCGTTCATCCAAATGCTCAAGGCGCTGATGCCCGTCGCCGTCTACTCCATCGGCGTTTTGTTTAAAAAAGAGGCTTTTAATTCGGAGACCATGGCGAACATGATCTCGATCTCGATCGGCGTCGGGATCGCCGCGTACGGCGAGGCGAAGTTCGATATGTGGGGGGTGTGTTTGCAGCTCGGCGCGGTTGCGTTCGAGGCGACTCGGCTCGTTTTGATCCAAATCTTGCTTACGTCGAAGGGGATCACGCTTAATCCCGTGACGTCGCTTTACTACGTCGCGCCGTGTTGTTTGGTTTTTTTGTTCTTCCCTTGGTGCTACGTCGAGTACCCGGTCCTCAAGGAGAGCTCGTCGTTCCAATTCGATTACGTCGTTTTCGGGTCGAACTCTTTTTGCGCCTTCGCTTTAAACCTCGCGGTTTTTCTGCTTGTGGGGAAGACGTCGGCTTTGACGATGAATGTCGCCGGAGTCGTTAAGGATTGGCTATTGATCGCGTTCTCATGGTCGGTGATTAAGGATAGCGTCACGCCGATAAATTTGTTCGGTTACGGCGTCGCGTTTTTGGGCGTCGCTTATTACAATCACGCTAAATTGCAGGCGCTTAAGGCGAAGGAGGCGCAGAAGAAGCCGGCGGAATCCGACGAGGAGTCGGGGAGGCTTTTGCCGGGGCGGGACGGTGACGGCGGCGAAGTTCAGGGGAGAAATGAGGGGCGAAACAATTGATCCTCTGGCCACAGAGATGAAAGCAATTTTGAGTGTGATGAGATAAGAGATATGAGATAAAACTACTTCATTATTCCTTAGTTAAAATGATGATCAAATTATTTATTTATATGTTCGCTTTATGATTTATGATTTATGATTTTTGGATTTATATTTATTATTATTATTATTTTTCTTTTTGATCATTTTTGTTTGAAACTCATAATTATTGCTATAAGACTCTTGTCTAATTGTTTCCCTTTATCATATGAATTTGTAGTTCTTTAAACTTGTGTTCTTTAGTGGATTTTACACAATTTTTTTATTATTCAAAATTTTTTTTTTACACTTGTTCCGTTCCTTAACAATTTATCTATTTTTCTATTTCTCATTCATAACAAAGTATTCATTTTTTTTTAGTAATTGTCCTGTCTATCTAACATTGCAAATACCCTTCCAATTTACAATATATTACACAAATGCTATTACTTTTATATCATACAATACTAATACTAATAGGGTTAATTTAATCTTTTTACATTTATTTCTACTTTATCCCAATATAATACTAATATTTCTAAAACTCCGTGCAAAAAGGAAATTGATATATAGTTATAGGATGGAGGAAATATTATATTACAAATTTATTTTACATTCAAAATACTACATCATTATCTATTTTTACTATTTAAAAAATTCAAACCCACAAACCCAAACCCACAAACAAACAAACCATATATATATATATTCTGCCACAAATTATTCCGCAACAATATTGTATTTTTCTGGTAATTTTACTTTTCTCTAATTAGTTTGACATAATTTTATGAAGATATTTGTTTATGTATAACTGTTTTGAACTTAAACTGTCGATTTGGCTACGAAATTGTTACTATATTTTATTTATTAATTTCTTTAATAGTAAGATTCCAATTCGAATAATTGATTTATAGTTTCATAAAATATGTAATAAAAACCAAGCTCTAAAGAATCTGATTTTCATTATAAATTGTTCACAATTTCGATTTGAATTTAAATAAAAATAAAAATAAAAACAAAATCAATATCAATGATTCATGAAATTGAAATTATCCAAACAAATCTACCTAAATGCTTTAATATGTATATATGTATGTAAAAGCTAGAGGGGAAAGTCCATTTAAAGAAGATCATAGTTTTCTAAAATTATATATATATATATATATGATATATATCGTTTTAGATTATTTATAAGATGCAATTTAAATTAAAATTAAATTTTGTATCTGCATTATTATTTCCCAATATAATTTAATATTGTTTCATGTAATATAATTTAATATTATTTCATGTATATTTATTAAAGGTGTATTTGCTTTGGAAGATAAGATTATACTCCCTCCGTCAACTAATTCTGTGCTCATTTGACCGGACATGAGTTTTAAAAAAAATATGTAAAAATAAAATTTTTTACTTTTTTTATAAAGAAAAGTGATATTTTTTTACTAAAAAAGAAAACGAGAATAAATTTGGATGACAACCAAAAAAAGAAAAATGAAAATAGATTTGAACGACTGAGGGAGACATACATAAAATTACTTTAATAGATTATACTCCCTCCGTCCCATAACTAGGTACCCATTTGTTTTTTACACGTAGTTTTAGAAATATTAGTATTATACTCCCTCCGTCCCAAAACAAAGTATCCATTTTTTCATTTTAGTCCGTCCCATAACAAAATATTCATTTCATTTTTTAGTAACTGTACTATCTACCTAAGATTACAAATACCCTTACAACTTACAATATATTACACAAATGTCATTACCTTTATATCACACATACTAATAAGGTTATTTTAGTCATTTCTATTTTATTCCTACTATATCACAATATAATATTAATATTTCTAAAATTACGTGCAAAAAACAAATGGATACTTAGTTTCGGGACGGAGAGAGTATTATGATGTAATATGAATAAAGTAGAAATGACTAAATAACCTTATTAATATGGTGTGATATTAAAGGTAATGACATTTGTGTAATATATTGTAAGTTGTAAGGGTATTTGTAATGTTATGTAGATAGTACAGTTACTATAAAAAGAAATGAATACTTTGTTATAAGACGGATTAAAATAGAAAAATAGATATTTGTTATGGGACGAATGGAGTATAATAATGAGACTAATTAATATAATTTTTACTTTACTTGCTTAAATGTCGAATAATAATAATATTTAGTACAAATATTATTTGAGATAAATTAATCTTACTCGTCTAGGATTAATTATCTTTAATTAGTATGCATTTTCTATGAAATTAGAGCAAATAATATTATTTTATCTATACTAATCCATTAATCTCCTATATACTCTAATGCATTCGGCCGAGATAAAAATGAGTTTGATCCAATAATAGCAATCTGTAGAATTATTTATTGGGTATATAAAAAGTGAAAGGCTATTTTTTTCGTATCGTATAAAATGTCTAATATCATGTATATACTGTATATATTTAATAATATATTATTAAATATTTATTAAATATAATTAAAATTACAAAATAATTTAATAATGTGAGAATCCGCAGACTAGGTCGGATAAGACAAATCACACTAGGCGAACTATATGTGGTCGGTGAACCTGGAGGTGTCGGAGTTTGAATCTATACCTCACGTTTTACAAATTCACTTTCCACACCAAACCATCTCTTCCCGGACCTTTTTTTTTTTTTTTTTTTTTGTCTTTCTTCCCCTCAATTTCTTTTTTGTTTTTATTTTTATTTTATACTTTCTCTATTTTTTTAGTGCGTCCATTTTTCCTTTTATATTTGTACTACTTATTGTGTAACTTTATTCTTTTAAAGAAAAATTATATACTTTAATTTTATTTAAAAAAAATTAATTTATATATTTTTTTTAATTTTTACTAGACTCACTAGTTATTTTAATATTAATGTAAAATTGTTTCTATTATACAACGTTAGAATATGAAACTGAAATTCTCTATTTTTCAATAATAAGAATATGTACATATTTATAATGACATACAAATCGTCTAAATAAGACAAGAATCCTATAAATTTCTTAAATAAGATAACTACCATAAATATAATATATTGCTTCTAAATATATTTTAACACCCCTCTTCAAACTCAAGATATGATCGAACAAACTTGAGTTTGTCAGAACTGACCGAAAAAGATATAGTCGAGATCTTCCATGTAAGAATTTAAATTCACCAAGATTGACTGAAGATGGTGTAACTGTCCAATGGATCATAATCAAAAGCAAAACTCTCAACATTGTTAGAGTTGGAAACATAACTCGCTCCCTCACAATGGAACTAGAGCCGAAAACAGGACTCGCTCACTCTATAGAACTAGAGTCGAAAACAGGATTCGCTCGCTCACAATAGAGCTAGAGTCAGAAACAGGACTCGCTCGCTCACAATAGAGCTAGAGTCGGAAACAGGACTCGCTCGCTCACAACGGAACTAGAGTCGAAAAGAGGACTAGCTCATTCTATAGAGCTAGAGTCGAAAACAGGACTCTGAAAGGCATTAGAGTTGAAAGTAGACGCTGTCGGTGGAGTAATAGAGACGGAGACAACATGAAAATAACAACATGACCGAGTATGACTGTGAATAGAAGCAGATACATCAATAAAATATAAAAATATATATGAGATATAACGGGTCATGGATGTACCCAGAAAGAATTTGTCTCTGATAACATGTTAGAATATGAAATTGAAATTCTTTTTTTCTTCAATAATAAGAAATATACAAATCGTCTAAATAAGACAAGAATCTTATAAATATCTTAAATAAGTTAATTACCATAAATATAATATATTATTTCTAAATATATTTTAACATACAATAATTATTTTTTCTTAATTTTTCGTGTCTACGGTGAAGGAAATATCATAATCACCGCGGACGAGGGATTACTTTTCTTCTCCTCAACTTCTATTATGTTTTTTTATTCTATTTTATTTTATTTTTTCATTTTGTCTTTTTTTTGCCCTCCTGTGGTAGATTTCATTTTATTGATTCTCTTTCACTTCTCCATTATTATTATTATAGATTTTTTTTCACTTCTACTTCTATTTCTTTTCTCTTTTTCCTCTCCTTTTAATTTCTTGTTCTTTGATGTTCTTCTTCTTTGATTTTTTTTCTTCTTCTACCTCTTCTTTTAATTTTTTGTACCTCGATCTTCTTCTTCTTTGATTTTTTTTTTTTTCTTCTACTCCCTCTTTTCCTTCTCTTTATTTTCCGTCTTCATCTTTAGGTGCATCTTCGTCTTCGTTTTTCACTTTAAGATTTTTTTTCATCTTCGTTTTCATTAAATCGAGTTATTTGTACAACTCGATTTAATGAGAATTTCGTGTTACTAACCTCAGTTTTTAGCATGAAGGGCTTTTAGAGAAGTAGCTTTGGGATGATTTTTCAACAAGTTTCTTCTTGGCTGGTTTCGACTATGCAGATGTGAAAAATAAGTCTAATGTTCTTCAATATAGAAAATTTTATCTCCAATTTTAGTTTAGAACTTCTGCAATTTCTTGTGCTTATGAAATATGCAGTTTCAGATTATCTATATCCTTAATGTAATAATATATTATAGAATATCTTAGGATAAGAGAATTGAGAAAATCCCAGTATGTCCATTCGAGAAGTAATTTCTTCACTCTTTCTATAAAGAAACAACAAAGCCATTAAGATGATTACCAATAGGGTCCTTTGATATCTAATCTCATGCATAGAATAAACCATAGTAATTTGTGTTTGAAATATAAACCAAACACACCCAAATTCATATTATACATAATTCATAATATTATATAATTACACTTAAAAAAAAAAAAAGAAAAAGAAAAAGAAAAAGGAGAGATGGTTTGATATAATATAAATATGTATGATGTGATATTTTGATTATAAAATTAATTTTTTAGTGTAATACAATAAAAATATATATATTTATTTTATTTGATATAAGAAAAGAAGGGGAATATTTTAAAATAGTTAAACTAAAATTAAAATCTCACAAGTAAACACATCAATATATTTAACTGAATAAAACAACATATACAATATTATCATTGTATCGATAACTATTACAACAGAACCACCACATCCGCTTATATATATGTATATAAATATATTTCTATCATTCAAAGAAAATATACACGCGTAAAAAAAAAATAATTCGAGTCGAATTTGAAATTTGAATGGAATTATATATATGGCTAGATTTGGCCTAAATTAAAGCAGCCCTTTGAACTTTAGTCTTAAAAACGAGGATATACATCTTTTCCATGGTGAAATATATAAAGCAGCCTGTGGAGTGTGTTACGAAAGATCCGAAGCTCGAACCAACGATGCAATGCCATGCCGGACCGTATATCTTATCGAATTCCTGTAAAAAATGTATTATAGTGACATATTTGTAATATATTGTAAATTTAAGAGCAATTTTAATAGTAGGAAGGTATTAGGGCTATTAAAAAAATGAATATTTTATTTTGGGATGAACCAAAATAAAAAAATATATAGATAAGTTAAGTGATGGTCGTATTTAAGAAAATTTAAATCTAAAAATAGGATTAAAATTTGAATGCCTTTAACAATCCCAAATTTATAATAGGTATGCATTTGGCCAGCTAAATAATACTCTCTCCGTTCCATATCTATCTATCAATTTACTTTTTGTACGGAGTTTTAGGAATATTAGTATTATATTGGAATGTAGTAGAAATAAAGGTAAAAAGACTAAACTAATCTTATTAGTATTGCTTGATATATATATATAGTGGCATTTGTGTATTATATTGTAAATTCAAACAGTATTTGTAATGTTAGATAGACAATACAGTTACTAAAAAATAGATACTTTGTTATAAGATGGACTAAAATAAAAAAATTGATAGATTGTTAAGGGACGAGGGAGTAGTAATAGCCTATGGATCATGTGGTGACTCACAATTGAATTCAACATCTACTGAATTATACCTTAACCACTCATCTTGTATTAAAATTTTTTAAATTAAATTATGAATAAAATGAATACTTGTGGTTTAATTTAGCCACACTGAATTACTAAATTCAGCATGGAATCCATAATAATAATAATAATAATAATAATAATAATAATAATAAATATAAATAAATAAATTATTGGATTTTTATAAAAAAATAATTAATGAATAGTAAAATTCGAATTGAAAACCTCAAACAAACTGATATTTAGATGTGTGTTTACTTGTTAGTTCAGAAATATACTCCGTCCGTCTCATAACTATGTATCAATTTACTTTTTACACAAAGTATTAGAAATATTAGTATTATATTGGGATGTGGTAGGAATAAAGTAGAAATGACTAAAATAACCTTATTAGTATTGTGTGATATAAAAGTAATGACATTTGTGTAATATATTGTAAGTTGCAAGGGTATTTGTAGTGTTAGGCAGATAGTACAATTACTAAAAAAAAGAAATGAATATTTTGTTATGAGACGGACTAAAATGAAAAAATAAATAATTTGTTATGGGTCGGAGGAAGTAGTATTTTATACAATTTATTATTATTATTATTATTATTATTATTATTATTATTATTATTATTATTTATTTATTTATTTATTTTTTTTTTTAACATTTCAGAGTTTTGATTTAATGAAAAAATAAATTTCAAAGTTCAAATATCTAAAATTGAATAGCAAAAAAGTCTAAATGAAAATAACCAGAACAATAATTAGTATAAATATGCAATAAAATATTCAATTTTGCACCAATCACTCCCTACAGTATTAGATGAAAGATGACATGGCAAATAAATAAATCGTAAAATTGCTTATAACTCCCCCGTGGTTTTAAAATTCAGCGTAAAATCTCCCTATACTTTAAAAACTGCATGATACGCCTTTATACTTTAAAAAAACGTTGCATGAAACCCCACTACCATGAAACTTTTCTCGTGTGATAAGAAGATGATTTCTTATCTATATATTTTGCATGTCATTGGGGTTTCATGCAATATTTTTTAAAGTATAAGTGAGCGTTATGCAATTTTTTTAAGTAAAATGGAGATTTATGCTGAATTTCGAAACCACAAAGTGGTTTCATGCAACATTTTTAAAGTATAAGGGGACGTCACGCAATTTTTAAAGTAGATGGAGAATTTACGCTAAATTTCGAAACCACAAGGGAGTTATGGACAATTTTGTCTAAACAAATACATAAATAAAAAGTTTAACTTGCTTTCTCAATGCAACTAAAATACTCGTATAAAACAATTTAATTGTGATTTTATATCTGGTTGGTATATATTTAATTCATCTATAATTTGAAAAATAAATAAATAAATAGAGTGTTTCATTTAGATATGATTTGAATTATTTTAATATTTTGAAGAGTTTTTGAAAGACAATCAAATTGTATTAAAAATATGTACGTAATATGATGCAAATAAATATTGAATATGATATTTAATATATATTTTTATTTTTATTTAACATTATAAATATAAAAATAAAATTTAAATATTATATATTATATATTTTAAATATAGCTTATATTAATAATGTGATGCGTGTTGATACAATGATGCAGAACTGTAGCTGATATAGAGCAACTGCGTAGTAATTTCTAAAACAAAATATTAATGTCAATTTAATTTCTAAATATACATATAAGAAAAATTAATAAAAATCATATACTCCTTCTGTTCCATTGAATGTGTGATTTTTACTTTTTGTGCGTAAATTTTTAAATATTATTATTATATTAAAGTGTAGTAAAAATGATAAAAATATATCTATTATTTTTGTGTAATATACTGTAAGTTAAAAGTGTATTTATTATGTTAGATATGTAGTACAATTATTAAATAAGAAAATGATAACTTTATTTTAGAACGGATAAAAATGAAAAATGACAATCTTTCAATGGGATAGAGAGTATATATAACACATCTAAAAGAAATTATGATTAAGGATAAAAACAAATTTGACAAAATATGATTCTATTTACATTTATATTTTTGAAAATTTTGATATTATTTATCAATAGTATTTTTTTTATAAAAAATATTACATCAAATACATATTTTTATTTTTAATAAAATATCAGATCAAATATTTATTTTTTTACTATTTTTATTTTTTTTCAAACTTAAAAAAATTGTATATAAGCGAAATCTAAGTAATTAAAGACCACTACAAGAAAAAATCATTTTTGTAACAAAACTTTTTTGTCTCTAAATCTACTTTTTCCGTTACTAATGACATTAGAGACGGAATTAGGAACGGAATCACATTAGCTACGTGAACTTTAGGGACGAAATTCCGTTACAAATATATTATATTTTTGTAGTGCGACGTATGCACATGCAAAAGGGCGTAGGTCTCCAAACCTAAAAAAAATATTATTATAATGTGAAAATTAATTTTATTTTATTTTTTTCAATTATAATGTTAATTTTAATTATATATAATTTATTATTACATTAAAAAAAAAAGATTTTGTATCTTAATGTTACTATAGTCCCGTCCTGCACCATCATTTTCATTTTCCCTTGCCAAAACCAATGCATATTTTTTCAAAAAATTAATATATTCATTATTTTATATTATTTATACAATTTTCTATATTTTACATAAAAAAAAAAAAAAAAAAACTGAACCGTCAGTTCAAACTAAAAACCTACAATTCACAAAACATATTGGAGCTGAATTCATATAGTAAAAAAAAAAAAAAAAAAAAAAACCCAACCAAACAACTTCGGCAACGGAAAGTTTGAAAGCTAATTCCATTGTACGAGAGAAAAAGGCAATAATTGGCTACAGATCTTGTGCTGATCCGGTCAAATTAAGCCAAATTAGTATGGTGTTGATTTGACCGATCAACATATATTATAAGGATGACCAGCATATATTTATACGTATTTTTGCATACACTGTGTTATAAGAAAGTATACGCTGAGTTATAATATAATATTATACTCCCTCCGTCCAGCTACAAAGTATACATATTTATATTTTGGGATATCCAATTATAAAGTAACAATTTCATTAAATAATTCACTTTTTTCCACAAATACTATTATTTTACATCACATCATTACTTTTATACCAAAAAGTAAGGGTAAAAATGTCATTACACTACTTTTACATACCAACTATAATTAAAATACTATTATTTTTTAAACTCCGCGTCAAAAGTAAATGTATACTTATTGTTTGGACGGAAAGAGTATTATATTATAAATATATTTAGACATATGTAAATATATACTCCCTTCCGTCCCATAAGTAAGTATTCATTTGCTTTTTGCATGTAGTTTTAGAAATATTAGTATTATATTAGGATATAGTAGAAATAAAGTAAAAATGACTAAAATAACCTTAGTAGTATGTGTGATATAAAGGTAATGACATTTGTGTAATATATTGTAAGTTGTAAGGGTGTTTGTAATGTTAGGTAGATAGTACAATTACTAAAAAAGAAAATGGATACTTTATTACGAAACAGACTAAAATGGAAAAATAGATACTTTGTTATGTGACGGAAAAAGTATTAGTTACTAACATTGCTAATCCCTTGACCAAATAAACAAGTGATCCCTACAATAATTTCGGTCACCATATATAAGTGTTAATATATTTTGGTAGATGTGAAATATTCCTTGGTCACATGTTAAGTCTTTAATCCAACCTCTATATTTAGATTTAATATATTATTACCCTATCCCTATGGACAACTAATCCACATATGGAAGAATATAAATTTGACAACTAATTCTAACATAGAACATGCATCTCCTGCAACTCTTCCATTTTAAATACTATATTTATATAAAATGCCAAAGACTACGAAAATAATAATAATAATACTATTAATAAAAATCTAAATTGGAAAACTACAAATTTAGTCTATACTTATGATTACATCTGGCAAAAACTAATCCCACACGATAATAAACGGTCGGGTTAGGGTTGAGATTCTCAATTCGAACTCGACACGACAACTCAATTATAATATATTAATATTGATTAATATATTTATTATATATGTAAAATAATCATAATTTATTAATTTTCTCATAAATTAATTTAAACTAAGTTCAATTTTAAATAATTCAACCTAATTTACGCTCAAATCAATAAAAATTAACATAACACGACAACACAACAAAAAATTATTTAATTTGAATAAAGAAATTCGACTTAATTATGGATACGGGTCAACACGAGTCAATCCGAACCCGACACGATAATAAACGGGTCAACACGAACCCGATACGATAATAAATGGGTTGGGTTAGGGTTGAGTAATTTAATCCGTTTAAAGTATTCAACCCGACACGAATCGATCCATTGTCAGCTCAACTTATGATCAATTATTACATTTATAGCATTTATATATTATCACAATTTGTAAAGTTGAGCAATACTTTCAATTATACAATTTAATTAAACAAATACTGACTCAAAACTTTGTCTGATTTTTACTTATTAGCTTACAAATTATTCAAGATTTTTTTTCAACCAATAAATAATATATATATATATATATATTTAATAAAATTCTGCTGGAACAAAACTAAAATATTCACATATATATCCAAAATACTTTGATTTTGAATCGCATTATTTTAAATAATACAAATAGTTATTTGTATATATTTGGCTTTTTGCCTCAGATTTATATAGTGAAAAGTTAAATAAAAATACACAGTAAAATTATTACGAGATAAAAAAAAATCATAATTAAGTGAATGAAAACACACACACACACACCTAAATATACAGAATCAAAACTGCAAATTTTTACTTCACGTAAAGGAAAAAAAATAAAATTAGTTAACATGTGTGTTTGTTTGTAGATTTGATTTTTGAGTTTGAATTTTTTTGAATAATAAAAGTTTAAATTTAAATAATTGTTTGATGGTATATAAATAGTATATTATAAAAAAATAAAAAGAATTTAATACTTTTGGAAAAAAAATTAAATAGTAAAAATGTTATGATAAATTCACGAAATAACACAACTAATTTGAGAGTTTTTTAGTGTGAAGTTTGGTAGTATTTTGGAGGTAAGATAGTTTTTTAATATCAAGTTTTATTAAAAAAAAAAAAGGGAATGTTAGATATGTATTTTTTAAGAAAAATGAGAGGTTGTAATGAAAAAATACAAAACTTACAAACTCCATGATAAAAAAAATAATAATAATAACAATTAAGGAAGAAAAAAAAAAGATTCAAAAGGGAAATCGAATGTACTAACCTTCTTGATGTTATAAGCCATGTTCTTTAAGCTAAAGTTGTCCATACAATCATAGGTTGTCCGGGCACATCGAAAGGCGTGAACTTGCATAAACCCGGGCATGTCCGTCGTCAAAACCTTAACTTGAAGAAAGGCAGCAACGGATCCAACATTCGTCTCCACCACTGAAACCGATTTTCTTTCTTGTACATAATTAATGATCGGTCGCGCCTTTCTTGATTCCACTATTTCATTTTCATTCTCTTCTTCTTTTTCGCGCTTATTACAACTAATGATCATTTTTTCTCGATCCCTTGTCTCTTTGTATGTCTTGGATCTTGTTAGAGATCCCCAACCCTTTGAGATCATGCTTCTTACCGATGAAGGTGATGGGGCCACGGTCTCCATGTTGTACACGTATGTGCCCCCTTCTCGCCTCCTCGGCTCGCCTCCATCGGTTACCATCGATGTAATAGAAGTTTCACTAGTTGTATGTGTCTATTGTGTGTGTGTATATATATAGATGGATAGATAGATAGATAGATAGATAGATAGCCAAACAATATTATGGAAACATTGGGTTGGTTTTGTTGAATTTGACCCCACAATCTTAGCACTCTTTTGATCCCGTAGAGATAACCCCTTTGGGTCCGACACAAATATTAATAAAAATGAATATTTTATTGAAAATTAAAAAAAGTAAATAGATAGTTGAAAATATTTTTTAAAATTTGGTTAACGATTAAAGAGAATGAAGATGACGAATGTAATAAAATTAATGGTATTTGTACTAAATAAACATTGAATTAAGGATAATAGTTAAAATATTGATTTTCTTTTTGTTTTTTTTTTTTTTATTTGGTCAAATAGTAAAGAATAAATTTAGAGAAGGAAAAGAATATAACATTTTTATTAATTTAACAAATCATCAATCTTTATTTGTTTTTTTCGTTTTGGTTTTATTAGTATAAAATAGTTTTCTTCCAAAGATATCAAATAAAATACATATTATTTATTTATTATATTATGCTAAAATTTAATTTTATATTAAGAAACCATACAATACATATTTACATTACAACAAACAATTATTTCAATCAAAAATTTTATTATTCAAATCCTAAACTTAAAATTAAAACTCTACAAGCAAACACAAGTGTTGAGATATTTTAGATATTCAAATTTAGATTTAGTAGATTTATATTTAGATTTGGTCTTATCTATCGAGTCTGTTTTGTATTGTCTATATATAAGTCCCTTAATTTTTATGATCAATAAGACAATTTTCTTATTTTCCTCAAAATTTCTAACATGGTACCAGAGCTTATTTTTCTCATGCCGTAGATATAGCCTACCAACCTGCGTTTCTCCGGGTACATTCAACCTGGATTGTACCCTGAGGTCTTGTGATTTTGAGATCATGCTATCTGCTATATGTCTGTTGCCTGCGTGCAATCTGATATCTATCTGCTATCTGTATGGTGTCTGCGTGCGATCTGATCTGTTTGTTGCCTGCGTGCTATCTAAAATCTGTCTGCGATCTGTCATCTGCCTACTGCTTGTTTATTGCTTGCGTGCGATCTGAAACCTGTCTGCGATATGCCATATGTCCACTGCTTGTTTATTGTCTGCATGCGATCTTAAATCTGTCTGCGATCTGCCATCTGTCTGTGCTTGTTTATTGCTTGCGTGCGATGTTTGGTGTTTCCGATCTAGGTCGTTTTCGGCTCCGGTGGAGTCATGTCGTTTTCGGCTCCAATGGAGTCATCTCGTTTTCGGCTCTGGTGGAGAGTCATCTCATTTTCAGCTCCGGTAGAATCATGTCGTTTTAGGCTCCGGTTGAGTCATGCCGTTTTATTTTCCCCCAAAATTTCTAACATGGTATTAGAGTTTACTTTTTTCATGCCGTAGATAAAGTCTACCAACTTGCGTTTCTCTAGGTACATTCAACCTAGATTATACCCGGAAGTCTTGTGATTTTGAGATCATTCTTACTGCTATATGTCTGTTGCCTGCATGCGATCTGAAACTTGTATGCGATTTGCCATCTATCTGTTTCTTGTCTGTTGCCTGCGTGCGATCTGAAACCTGTTTTCGATCTACCATATGTCCGTTGTTTGTCTGTTGCCTGCGTGTAATCTAAAATTTGTCTACGATCTGCCATCTGTCTGTGCTTGTCTATTGCCTGTGTGCCATTTGTTTGGTGTTTGTGATTTATCTTGTTTTCGGCTCTGGTGGAGTCATGTCATTTTCAGCTCCGGTGGAGAGTTTACTGTTTTTGGCTCCGGTGGAGTTGTGTCGTTTTCGGCTCTGGTGGAGAGTCATCTCGTTTTTTGCTCCGGGTGGAAAGTCATCTTTTTTTTTGCTCCAGGTGGAAAGTCATCTCGTTTTCGGCTCCGATGGATAGTCAACTGTTATTTTTGTCATCTTATTGTCGGCTTCGGTGGAGTCATGTGGTTTTCGGCTCCGGTGGAGTTGTGTCATTTTCGGTTCCAGTGGAGTCATGTGGTTTTTTGCTCCGGTGGAGTCATCTTATTTTCGGTCATCTCATTTTTTGCTCCGGTGGAGTCATGTGGTTTTCGGCTCAGATGGAGTCATCTCGTTTTCGACTTCGGTGGAGTCATGTAGTTTTCGGCTCCGGTAGAGTCATTTTGTTATCGACTTCGGTGGAGTCATGTAGTTTTCGGCTCCACTGGAGTCATGTCGTTTTCGGCTTCGGTGGAGTCATCTCGTTTTCGGCCATCTCGTTTTCGGCTCCAATGGAGTAATGTAGTTTTCGGCTCTGGTGGAGAGTCATCTCATTTTCGGCTTCGGTGGAGTCATCTCGTTTTCGGCTCCCGTGGAGTCATCTCGTTTTCGGCTCCAGCGGAGAGTCATTTCGTTTTCGACTCCGGTGGAGTTATCTCATTTTCGCCTCCGGTGGAGTTGTGTCATTTTCGGCTCTGGTGAAGATTCATCTCGTTTTCGACTCCAGTGAAGAGTCATCTCGTTTTTTGCTCCAGGGTGGAAAGTCATCTCGTTATCGACTCCAGTGGAGAGTTATCTCGTTTTCGGCTCCGGTGAAGAGTCATCTCGTTTTTTGCTCCAGGGTGGAAAGTCATCTCGTTTTCGGTGTCGGTGGATAGTCAACTGTTATTTTTATTTATGTTTTTTTTTTTATATATATTCAACTTTCTTATCAAATTCAAGTTGTTTATGTTATACCACTTGAGATTGAGGGATGTTGAGATATTTTAGATATTCAGATTTAAATTTAGATTTGGTTTTATCTATAAATTAAATTACTTGTATCTGAGGCTATCGAGTTTGTTTTGTATTGCTTATATACAAGCCTCTTATTTTGATGATCAATAAGACAATTTCCATATTTCCCCTAAAATTTCTAACAACCACCACTAAAATTTTAGTCTTTTCCCAATTACATTTTAACTATTTAGATATAATATATTATTATTATTATTATTATTATTATTATTATTATTATTATTATTATTTGGAACATGTATGTATCTATTCTTTACAAAGTAAGTATAATAGTTTATATAAAATTAAATATTGAATTTTGAGAGAGGAAAAAAAAAGTAATTAATTATATTTGATTTAGTCAAGATTTCAAAAGAAATTGAAGGTGTTCGTTGTTACGACATTTTGTTTTTACAATATATTCATATTTTTTATAAAAATATTCTCCCAATTCCATATAATTTATTTATATTTTATATTTTTGTTTTTCTCACATAATTTTTCGTAAGTTTATTCGTACTATTAAGTCATTTCTTACCGAACACATCCTCAATGTTTATATTTCTATTGGCCTTGGATCATGAGTTACCATAGGTATGGTTGTATTTTATACTTCATATATTTATTATGTAATAATAATATATTATTATTATTATTATACCAACTACACCAACATTCATATATTATTATTTATTTGTCTATAAAAGTATATATTTAATTTAGAATATTAAAGTAAATTATCCAAAATATTTCAATACACAACATGAGATATTGGATTTAAGGACTTAGACATGATTGGGCATGCAAGGCTTATGTTCGGATTAATATTAATTTATAAATACTTATTTCAATAAATCGTCTATTGTTTAATGATCTACCAAATTTATTATATTATATTGTAAATATTTATTTTGATCCGAATGACTCCACTATGTCAATTTTTTTTTGGTTATGTTGTTACAGTGGTTAGTAAAAATTTTGAATTTGAATAGTTGTATGATGTGATATAAATATGTGTTGATGTGATGTTTTGAATGTAAAATTGATTTTTAGTATAATATAAAAAATAAAAAATATGTGTTTGATTTGATATTTTTGGGGAAAATTTTTTGGATAAATAATAGGATTTTGTCAAAATCCTACAAACAAACACACCCCAAGTGTATTTGTTAAGTAATCATTCTGTCTCGGTGGTCAGATGATCTATTTGGTTATAAATATAGTATTTTATATAATATAGTTTAATAAATTATTAATAATAAATTATTATATTATTTTATGATTATTAATATGAATAGTATTGTTAGTATTTTAAATGTTTTTTTCATTATATTTCAATACAGTATACTCCATCCATCTCATATATACGTATCCGTTTGCTTTTTAAACGTAGTTTTAGAAATATTAGTATTATATTAAAATTTAGTAGAAATAAAGTAAAAATGACTAAAATAACCTTATTAGTTAGTTGTAAGTTGTAAAGGTATTTGTGTAAGTTAGAATGAACAAACTCATTATTATCATAGTTTCCATGTAGAGATAAAGTGATATAATTATCTCATGTGAAGAAAATAGAATTTTTACAATTTTGTATTAAAAAAAAAAAAGAAATTATATTACTTTACAAAATATTGCTTCAAACTATTTTTTTAAATTTAAAACTAAAATCTAACACACAAAATTATCATATACTTGTTTAGTTCCAACACAATTGAACTCTTTCATTACTTACACGGTATTTAAGAAAAATAATGTTTAATTAGTTACTAATAGTGAATTATAATATTATTTTTTATATAATTAATAATATTAATAGTTTTAAAATAAATTTAATATATGATTAAGAAAATTAGAATATGTATTTAAATATTTTAAGGTAAACTGTTTTTTAGTCCCATAATTGGACCCCTTATCATTTTAGTCCCGTAAGTGGAGTTTGTCGCAAACTAGTCCAATAAGTGAAAAATTTTCGTTGTTTTAGTCCTCCGGCGCCCGAGACGCCCGCGTGGCTCGCCGGAGGTGACGTGTCCGCCAGGTGTCATTGACCTGACGGACATGTGGATTTTTTTATTTATTTTTTTAAAATTTTTTTTTAAATTTATTTTTAATTTTATTTGTATTTTTTTTAATTTTTTTTATTTGGTCAAATTTAAAAAAATTAAAAAAAAATAATAAATCCACGTGTCCGTCAGGTGTCGCTGACCTGGCGAGACACCTGGCGGACACGTCACCTCCG